GGTCTGGGGGGGGGTCTGGGGGGGTCTGTGTGCTCCTCTGCACACACACTGGGCACAACTGGCCCTTTGGAGAAGTTTGGGATTGGTGGCTCCAGATGTTGGTGAGCACAGAGGTGGGCAGGAACGTCCCAGGTCCTTCCCCTGTGCATGAGGAGCTGGAGGTACAACCTGCTGGGACCACCTTGGGCAGATCCACAGAGGGGTCCCCATCTCCCAGCAGGCACCAGCAGAGTGGAGACATTTGGGGTTAGTTTTTAGGATGTTTCTGAATCCTGAGGGAGCTGAAGGTCCATCCCTGTGCTGAGGGGCCACCAAGAAGTGGCCTTGGTGTAAACCAAGTGCCAAGCAAGCATGAACCATCAGATGTGGAGCTGCAGGTGAGGACCAGGGGGTTCTCCACATCCCTCCTGGTTTGCTGCCAGTCCAGGTGCATCTCCCAGCCTGGAGTTCCTGTGTCCCCTGAGAGGCCCAAGGCTGGTGCTCGGGCAGCAGCTTCACTGCAGCATCTCCTGTTGCTCCCAAACAAGGTTGATGTTCCAGGGGGGCCTGCAGGGTAGGAGTCTCTGTCTTCCCAAGTCTGTAGGTCTCAGTCACACCCACGTCCCCTTTCACTGGAGAACACGAGTGGAGCTTCAGTGGGAGGGAAGACTGAAAACTGGGGCTTCTAAACCCCCATGGGAACGACCCAGAAAAGAATCCAACCTCCCTATGCCTTCAGTCCCATCATTCCCAGGCTGGGGAAGCTGAAACCCGAGGGGGTTTCCTGGCTTCACAGCTTTGGGTTGGCAATGTTGTCTCTGGGGTGGCAGGAAAGTCTTCCCAGCTCCTGTTCCTCCTGCTCTGCCTCCCTGGGGGTTCCTGGTCTGTCCCCACGGGCCCCTCACGCTCCACCCCCCACCCACGGGACTGGGGGGGTCCCTGCCCACCGTGTCACACCACCAACCCTCCTGCTTGTCCTTCCAGGCTTCTTCCCCCACCTACAGTGGCTCCAACCTCTATTCCCCGGATTCTTCAGCCAACTCTGGTCCCATCATCTCCGACGTGACCGAGCTCGCCCAGTCCAGCCCCTCCGCGTCGCCCAGCGGGAGCCTGGATGGGAGGTGGGGGCTTCTCCTGGGGCTCTGGCCCTGCCCCCAGCTGGGGAACGTGTTTCCCGGGGAGAAACTGGGGAGAAAAACACCATGAAAACGTGTCTCGTGTGGGAAGAATTCCCTGTGGGCACCTGCTGGAAAACAGAGCAGTGGGAACTGGCCCAGGGTGCCCAGGGAAGCTGTGGCTGCCCCATCCCTGGGGGTGTTGAAGGGCAGGTTGGATGGGGCTTGGAGCAGCCTGGGCTGCTGGGAGGTGTCCCTGCCATGCAGGGGGGCACTGGGTGG